ACTCTCCTGTTACTTGGTATTTCATTGTTGACAAGTTAATTCATTCAGTACCTAATTTTGGTCGGTTGGGAGTTCTCATGTTTCATGAGATATAACTAGCGATATAATGTTTTTAACTGCGTTCAATAAACATGCTCTAAAACGCACTTTCATTTTATCTTTGTTGCTCATTTGGTTAAAGAACAATTTAGCTAAAAAGCTTTGTCCTTTTAATTGGTTGTAATAACTAACTTATATCTAGTATATCTTGCTTGTACTGAATAAATGTAAAGTTGTACTTTAAACTCACAACTTCGCTACACCGAGTACAACTGATGTTTAATTGTAGTTAAAGATTCAACAAAACTACATTGTTGCTATTCTGAAGCTGATCAGATTTTAAGCTTATTCTGTACATTTGTTGTGTCTGTAAAAATTTAGAATTATCTTGCTTTTAATTATTTTAATGGTGTCATATAAAAATAGATTTGTATTATTATAAATAATAATAACAACGTTCAGATGCTGAATTCCCTTGTCATTTGGTGTGTCAATGGTGTCTTTGTAATACTTAAATACCCGTGTCTTTTATTGTGTGTGTGTGTGTGTGCTTAATTGTCCTGTTTTGGAACTTTCTGATCCTTTATCTTGACTTTTTATATTTTAATAACTTATAATATGAATTTTCTAATTGTTTAAAGTGTCACTACTATTTTAGTAAATGTGTTTTCTTGGTTCTTTAATATTTCATTGGTTGTCGAATTACGCGGAATTTTCACGTTCTTTGAGTAATTCCCTAGAATGCAGAATATTCAGGTTTTAATCGTATTTAAAATGCCTTTATAAAATTGAAATGCCGTGTTCTTTGCTGTATTTATGGTGTTAAATGTCCAATCATTTGTGGTTAAACTTGAAATCATATTATCCTTGATTTCTTCTGTTTTTTTTTTTAATATAATGAATTCTTTGAAATGTGTATGTGGTGTCTCATATTGAGTTGTTTTCACATCTGAGGTGTATTGGATTACTACTATATATTCGTTTGAAGAAGTGATGTCCATTTCTTTGCTTAGTTTGATATTAAAAATGCATAATATCTTTGTTCAATTGTTTCTGTGGTGAATTTGAATGTTAAATAATGTAGTTATTTACACAAACATTGATTTCTTAGAATGAAAAAAAAAGTCTTTGTTCTTTCTGTAATCTTTTAGAATAGTGAATTAATCAGTTTTTATTGTTTACAGAGGTGTAGCTTGGTTAATTGTAGTGTTTTGGGAGTTTAGAAAGCTAATTTATGTCATTTTTTATTATTAAATTATTATGAACTTTTGCAAGCAATATTCTAAAATGCTACATTACCTTGTTATAAAATACAGATTTATTACGCTTTTTTTTATGGCTTTGCTATCTTAAAATGTAAAATGTTCTAGCATGGTTAATTGCTCTATTTTTAATGTTGTTTCTATGCTTTACGTGCTGATTTACTGCTTACTATTAAATTGTTTTGTTCATATTGTGTTTCTCGTGCTTTTGAATGTGGAATTGTGGTTTTCTTTATTAAATCTCTAGTGTCATTAACTGGCGAATATTTCCGAAATTAACTGTGTGTGTAAAATGCTTTGTTTTATATAATCGTGTTAAAAACTGCAAGGAATTATGTTTTTTGATAAGTTTTCTCAAATTATTTTATACTGAATTAGATGAAAGCTGTGGAAGTAAGGTGAAGAGCGATGTCACATGACAAGCAAGTGACATTTACTATAACACCTACCGATGGAAATTTGTATATGATCTCTTTTCGTTTCATAAAAAATCTGTAGTAAAATACAGCTTATTTCTAGTGCAGGTTACATCTGTGTGTTCTTTATATAATTTTGAGGCAGAACATGGTCATTTTTGTTTTATTTTTCAAATAACTCTAACACTAATTATTTGTCGTATTTGTGGTACTTTATTATACTCTAAACTAACTCTAACATCTGTAAAACGTAGAGCTTTTGGTATTCTTACCTTTATCCGAGAGGCAGTTTCGAAACAATGATATAACAACGGCTAGGATACATTTAGTTACTATGCGCAAGCTTATATTATCAATACATCATGGGAGCCGACGTAGAAATAATTCGCTCATTGGGAGTTTATCCATGTATAAAAACACGCAGGATAGATAAAATTTGATTTTTTCAGTTTATTTAACATTCAAATTAGCTTAAACATACTCTAATTTTGTGCTATTAAGTCTTATAAAATTAGATTCAGGTATATTGCTATATTTTGAATATCATCACAAGTATCATTTGCACTGTCGACTTTTAAGAGTTAAAGATGACAGATAGAATTTTTAGTAAACGAACCTGGTCATTGGAATTAGGCTGGTCCGCAAGGGTCAGGTATACCCAGTTGAGCAACTGGGCTGGCTGATAAACCGATGCACTAGGGTCAATGGAAGCAAGAGAAGCCATTCTGTTTGGACACTAATAAATACTCTCAGGATCCTCGAACGAGAGAGGCACAAGCCCACAGGGAAACGGACACATGTGTCGCTGAGCGCTTGTCATGGCACTGCGTTGAACCCCAGTCGATGGTAGCGTCTCTGTTTGCTGCATTCCTGCTCTGGGACGCTCTTGCTGCTCACCCAATCACCATCACTAATTTTTAGAGCATCAGCCAATGGAAACATTTTGAATGTTTTGCATTTCGGTGCCAAATTTAACATACGACCAGACGACGAAGAACAACCCCTACATTCGTGAAAGCTTCAGGGGTCATATTACACAGACGCGATGTAATGACGTCCAGACTTGCGTTACTGAGATTGTAGTTAACCATGGCAGGGGTCAGGCTGGAGTATGTTTATTTCGGTTCGCACATGGCCAAACTTGTACTATTCAGCTGGAGAGAGCTATTCTTAATGAAGAATATGATTGCCTGTAGTGAGTGAAAGTTTTACACTGAATATTAATAAACGAAACGAAACGAGAAAACTAGAGTAAATAAACTAGTTTACAAGGCACAGTTTAGCAACTAGAATTTATTCGTCTACAATTTAGAAATTTAATTAGTTATAATAGAAATTCACAACTGTTTTCAACCGAGAAAGTTCTCTTTTTTTTCTGCAACAAAACAAATTAGCCGATATTTGATAATAGTCCAAATATCTACACGAAAATATTTTTGCCAAGAAAAGCTAAATAAACTTTGTTCCATCTTGTTGTTTATCCAAAATATCATTACACTAGGTAGAACTTGATATTCCTTTGTAACTAATAACACCACTCATTGATTTTTATGCTATTAACTATTCTGCTTTTAGTTAGTTTCTTGAAGTAATTGTGTGAGTCACAATGAAGAATACAGAGGACATCTTTCACCACATTAAGAAAAGTGGCGCTTCTGCAATCTGAAGTAACCTTGGTGACCTCTGTTTGAAGACTCAGCGAATATTTAATAATTCTCCCATATGCGAACTTATAAAGTTCATTGCACGTGAGGTCATTCCTTTACACATAGTTTAAGCTGAAATTTTTACTTGGCTGGGAATGCTAATTTTATGCTGTAATTATAACATTGGATATTTTTTCTTCAGCTTCTTAAGAATAAGACCATCTTATAACTTTAAGCACACTTATTGCTCATTTTTTGATTTTAAAGTTGTTACACCTCATAAAAGATCGATCATGCGTGTATTCTTATGCGATGATTTTTAAATTTCTTAAGAGAGGTTAATATGAGTGTAAGTTTATACTATATTGTAAGTATAGTAAGTCTTTTTGCAAATACACAATAATGATATTTCCAACTGAAATTTAGGGAAATAAAACATACATTTTATTCTTGATCATCTATATATCAGTTACACAAATGAATTCTATTAAGTTTAGAAACATTCTGGTTAGCGTGGTATTGGGTCATAGCCAGGGATAAAAGAACAACTGTAGTTAATACTTATATGCGCCCATCCTTCGGTGGCTCAGCGCTAAGTTGGAAGGCTTATAACGCTAAAAAGCGGGTTTCGATACTCATGGTGTGCACAGAACAGATAACCCTCTTGTGTAGATTTGCGTCTAATAACAAACAAACAAAATATTTATATTTTTATTTTTATTAGTCATTGCAAATACGTTTGATAGGTTGCTGTTACACAGCACAAACAATTATAAGATAGTGTAAATTACTCTTCCCATTATCAGTTTATATGCAAATTAGGCATTTGATGATCCGTCTTGTGATATGAAAGACAAGTGATTGATCATTCAGTCTAGGTGCGTAAATTACCATTTGGTTAAAGTGGCTTTGGGTCTTTACATCTCATGACATTTTACTTTAAAACGGGTTATGGCCACGACAAGCAGCAAGGATAGCCTCACACCAATAGTGTATGATTGAAATCAGGGTGATGATAAAATTGTGAGGTGTCCTAGTTCAGTACTTTGAAAGAACTGGTTCAAAGATTGGATGAGGTGAGCCTCCTAAGAGCATCTGAAGACTGGTGAGCATACATGTCCATCTATCGGTTTAGCATGGTGGGGTCGAGCGTTACCTTTCATTAGCCTAAAGTCAGGGGCAACTGCATCAGCAGGGCAAAAAAAAAAAGTCGAAGGGTGCGATTCTCGTAATGTCTGGTGTTAACGGTACCATTCCGCTACGATGTATAGGTCTATAAGTTCACCAATTCTTATTCCTGGATATCATTATTTCACAAATGCCATACGCGTCATGTTATTGCATGAAAATGGCGTTGAATCTGGTTCCAGATTCTCTCAAACAGATATATGAATGCTATATGGTATGACTCAGCTGTAAAAAATATTATTGCTCTACATATCTGTAAGGCCTCTAGACATGGGATTGCCACTATAATGGGTGAGATGTTCTGCACTTTGCATACAAGTCGGTTTTGTGAAATATTTTATAGCTGCGAATATACGGTTCAGTCTTGGAGCAGGTATCCAACAAATGTGGTAAAACAAGAAGCGACTACCTACTTATACTGTACACGAACTACCTTATTCAGGTGTCCGAGTAACTGCAGCACCAGTTTGAAAACAACTGCACATTTCCAGGTCACTAAAACCTGCTGTGTTTGATTTGGTGGTTTTTCCACACGCGTAAAGCATCCAGACGTCTTCTTTGAAGTCTTAGTTTGTGAACAATTTGGAGAAATTTGAATAGTGTGATTCACTCCAAAGTAACAACTGAGATTGAAGTGTTGGAATATTTGGTATTTTCAAACTGAATGACATCTTTTGCGCTCGTGAGCTAAACGGTTGGGTTATATAAAGTTTAAGTACAGCCATCCATAGTTTTGAGTCGCTAAAGAGAAGGAATACAGCCAGTCAACAGTACCTGCCGGTACAAGAGTTTTGTCAAGCTTTGAACCGAATAACAGGATTGACTACCACTCTTATAACATACCCATTGGAATATTTGGTATTTTCAAACTGAATGACATCTTTTGCGCTCATGAGCTAAACGGTTAGGTTATATAAAGCTTAAATACAGCCATCCATAGTTTTGAGTCGCTAAAGAGAAGGAATACAGCCAGTCAACAGTACCTGCCGGTACAAGAGTTTTGTCAGACTTTGAACCGAATAACAGGATTGACTGTCACTCTTATAATATACCCACAACTGAAAGTACTAAGAATATTCAGCGGCATGTTGGCGCGAACCTTACAACAATACTAATCTCATTTTATATTGTACACACTGAATGACAAATCATTTGTATTTTTGGTCACGTGACTGATCATATGATGCCGCAGCTATATTAAAAATTTGATTCTGCTTTGATTGTTTTGAGTAGTATATGCATAAAGTGAATGAAGCTTTTATCAGTGAACAATACTAAGAACCTAAACATCACAAATGTAATTTGCATTTAAAATCTAAAACTCTGTGAAGCAGGTCATCTCAATTTTAAATCTAAAAGGTTGGTTTTACTTTACCCTTGAAAGTTTTCTTTTTTTTTACTTTATTTTTCCTTGAATTTGCCTTATTTTTCTATGTGCTGGAAAATCAATTTATTTATACTTGCTAATTAGTGTTAACATTATTTTTATCGTTATCTTGGGAGGGGAATATTATTAATTATAGTGTTTTTCAACATTTTCATAAAGCACTCCCAATTTTGCTATGGAACAAATAATTAGAATATACATTCATCTATGTAGAAACTACAGCAATTTATATATATATACCTCAATTTAAACTCATAGTTACTTTAGTTCTCTTAACGACACCTGGTGGCTCAATGTATTCATAAAAGCTTGTAATGCTAAAATCTGTGATTCTGTGCCTGCGATGGGTACAGTGGAAAGTGTCGATTTTGTAGCTTTATGCTTAAAGAAACACATTTTTTTCCTGAGATACTTTCTTCATTAATGCATCATTCCTTAAATATAGCAATAAATAAAATATAACCATTTGTTAAAGAGATATTTAAATTTTCATAATGCACTCAATATAAACGGACAATCAAGTAGGTTCTCACTGTAGATGTCTATACAAACTCAAGTATAAATATTTTATGAAAAGAAACAAAACACAGACAATCTGTCGGTTCCAAAGGTTCACCCAACAATTTGAAAGACACAAAAGTACGTCAGTAAAGTGAAAAGATATTTCTTTTTTTTAGTTTTCTTTCCTATTCTTGATGGAATCTGTACTCTTACACGTTTGATAATTTGTTAGAACGATATAGTTTATGAATAAATATGTTAAGGTTTCACTCTATAAGATGAAAAAATTTAATGAATTCGCCTTTGGCAGACATGTGTATTTTTTTGTAATAATACTATGCTTCTATTTTACATAAAACAATTTGTAGAAAATTGAAACTTTTATTGAATTAGTTTGTGTCCATATTATAGCTTGAAGAGTTTCCGATTACACACGTATGTATGTATTGTACTGTGACAAACTGTACATACGTTTACAGCGTGTTATTATTAATAAATAATTTATCATTTCAAGAAGTAATGGGGCTGAATTTTAACACATAATGTGGGTTACACGGTTCATCTTTCAATTAAGCACAAAGCTACACAATGGGCTATCTGTGCTCTGCCCACCACGGGTATCGAAACCCGGATTCTAGCGTTGTAAGTACGCAGACATACCGCTGTGCCACTGTGTTAGATCATAGGGTTGTAGTCAAGATTAAGCTCGTTTTATGGTTTGTTCAGCTGACACTTCATTGTGCATTGTGCCTAAAGAAAGCCATATGGTTTCGATTTAATATTTATATATTGCCCCATGCGTCGCCCACCATGCAGGTCAATAGCAAGAGGCAATGTGAAAACAGTATTTATGATACAAATGCCTTGGTTGTTTAATTTTACTACCTATAAGATGAAACAATTTCACCACCACGTAATATTAAGGACTACAGAAGATTATTGTATGTTTTTGTTTGTTTTTGAATTTCGCGCAAAGCTACACGAGGGCTATCTGCGCTAGCCGTCCCTAATTTAGCAGTGTAAGACTAGAGGGAAGGCAGCTAGTCACCACCACCAACCGCCAACTCTTGGGCTACTCTTTTACCAACGAATAGTGGGATTGACCGACACTTTACAACGCCCCCACGGCTGAAATGGAGAGGGATTCGAACCCGCGACCCTCAGATTGCGAGTCGAGTGCCTTAACCACCTGACCATGCCGGGCCCAGAAGATTATTAACAAAGATTAAGTATGTTTATTTTCGTTGTATTATTATAAAAATGTCAAAATCTTCTTTAAGTGCTATTATCCTAGGTGGATAAAACGACCCTTACTGATTAAGAAATATTATATGTGGAAAACATACATTTTAAACTAATTCAAGACTATGATATATATATATATATATATGTGTGTGTGTGTGTGTGTGTGTGTGTGTTATAGGCGGAGCGGCATAACTATTCATATGTACTATGATATAAAATACTGTTATTAAAAAGTACCCACAAATTTTCGATCAGTTTATTTCAAACAAGGATGGTATGGAGTCTTTAACTAACGCAATGAATCGTTTGAAAAGTATTAAACTTAATTATATTCATAAATAATATTAGAATAGGCAAAAGTCCTAAATAAACTAATATCACGGAAAAATGCTTTTCATAGTTAATAATATGTCCTTATTCATAAATAATTTCTTAAGTGTATATGCTTGATGTCTGGACTCTGCGTGATCCTACAGAAATTACAATACGTGTTGTGAAAAATGAATTTCACATTTAAAGAATGACAATATATACAATGAATCAGCACTGTTGATAAATATTTTTGGACAGTTATGCTTTATTGGTTTAAATACATACAGAGTATTATAACTGATCGGAAAATAATATCAAAGTTGACGAAAAAAATAATAATACTTGTAACACAGGATGTCTCTTGAATATTTCAAAAACAAATAGATCTAAATCTTTATTTATGAATACTTTTGTTTTTTAATCCCTATATCTAGGACAGGACAAAACATTTAGTTGTGAATATATATCAGAATCTTAGAGTACTTACAGAGTGCTGTGATATGTGAGTTTTTAAAATATTCAGCATTTATTTGCCGTAAGCAAACACTTATTTCAATTTTAATTGAACACATATTATTTCAAACATACTAAGATTTAAGACAAATTATTGTACAGAGTACAAATAGTGTGTTAAGTAAACACTTCATATACACACAGAAATACATAAGTGAAACATCCAATCTTTCGTATAGATATAATATAATACTGTGAATATGTCTTCACACTTTTATTACACTTAGTATCTACCCTTATTATACCTTTGTAAAAAATAGCCACAATAAGCCCTTTTTTATTTACTCTAATTAGCACGCAATGGAGAATAAGAATATCACGTAACAGCTGAAAAATACAATAACTCGGTTAAGTGACTGAAAAGGTCAAGTTAACTTTTGTAAACCTAACTAAACGAAAGCCTTTACTGAAATATGCATACATGTACAGTGATACGTTCATAATTTGTGCAGTATTGTAGGAGTACAGCGAAAGCCGGAGGATTCATGTGAGGTTTTTTTCGAGATATATTTCCTCGCCTCGGGTTTAAGCCCGAGACCTCTCGCACGCTAAACGAGTGCTCTACCAACTGTGCTAAAGAGTTAACTCCCTGCCTTGATAGTAAGTCATTTTTTCAGATACTCAGTGATACACATATGACCACCAGAGTGTTGTTCCCATGTAAACAAGTTGGATGCCTACGCTTTCTCGGTACACTCAGCAGAATGGCACGTGCATAGCTAATTGTGCTGTATTGCATATATTGATATAAGAATGCTCTAACAAACACTATGATAGAAGCATAATTCCAAAATCTACAAAAATCACATTAGTGGAACGACTCCTTCAGGTCGAAGTGTAGTAGTTAACAATACTGAACAATGCTGTATTGCATATATTGATATAAGAATGCTCTAACAAGCACTATGATAGAAGCATAATTCCAAAATCTACAAAAATCACATTAGTGGAACGACTCCTTCAGGTCGAAGTGTAGTAGTTAACAATACTGAACAATAATCTGGCGGGGAGTCATAAAGTATCTCTGTTATAGACATTTTATTTTCCTTCTGCGCATCATTCTCCAAGTACTCTTCAGTTTTCTCGATGCTTCGACAATGCTGCACAAATTATGAATCGCCCTTTATATCTATATAGGTATAGATAACTTTAAAACTGAACTTAACACTTTTTAAAAACACTTCAGAATCGTTATAAGCAGACTTCCTAATTTCATTATAATTTGCAGTTCTCAAATTCTATGACTGTGTTCACTTGTTCCTATTTTCAGATGAAATAACAGTTGCATTTATATGTATGCTGTCATGTGTCACAAATTATCCGATGTATAGTTTTCCTTAAACGAAAATGAAATTCAAAACAAACCTACATTTGAATAACTTAAACAGGCGCTTTGATGCGCAAAAAATTAGCATCGCACCTCCAAGTAGAATACTCCTGAAGAAGCTGTGAAGCGAAACGTACGATATCCAATTAAAGAAGAACAATAACAAATTTGGTGTAATAAGATCGTTTATTACTAGTATTAAAATAACAATGTTTGTTCGATTATGCTTGTAATAATGTATCGCTATATATTTGTGATCTAGGTTGAACTAGTAATACGATCAGTATAGATCAGTTTTGTAAGTTGTCTATCAACATAGTCGATTTTGTGTAGAGGTAATACTTTACGATAATGATCCCGTTTTTTCTATAAAGTAATTCTGTGTTTAAACGAAAACCATACTTTACAGTAAACGTTTTGTTAAATTGCAACTCATTTTATTATAGGAACGGGGGGGGGGAGACTTTCGTTTTGAAATATACGATGTTTCAATGACTTTTTCTTCAATAGACGAAACAAGCATAAGCCCAGCTCACCAACATTGTCGTAAAAAACATTAAACTCTAATTACCTGTATACATACTAATACATTTACTTTTCATAAATTGAACTCATTTAAACAGATCCACGTGATTCTTTGAAGTGAAGTTGGTACTTGTGGCTTAACCTACAACAGACTCTAACACATAAAGACCTTGATGTCCTCACATACTATACAATAAATTTAGGACAAACGCTATAATTTGTTTCAATACAGTCTTGCATAAAGCTAAACATGGGACACAAACACACAAACAGTGTATAATAGCAAGGTCTAAGCTTAGTTCATGAACTAATAAGTTTTATTGGATAATGGAATTTGATTTAGGAAGTAAAGATAGTACTATCTAATTAGTGGTTTTCTGATTTAGTTGTGAGTGATGTAGTAGACGGTTAACAAGAAACTTTCCATTCACTCTTAATTATTTTTTAATCTTTTACACAAGGCGATGTTGCCCATGCTTCCTTTCTTAAAACTGTGAAGATATTCTCCTTTTTTGATAAGGTTACTGTTGTTGCCTGTATTCGAGATTTATTTTTCTTGCTGAAATGCCAGACCTCAAGACTAAGAGCTAATAAAGCAATCACCAGGCCAACCAATGTTACGATGAAAACCCCTCCAAGATCATAAACTGTGAGGCTGTCAGAATTGTCCAAGGCATCGCAGATCCGTCGTTTAGTGGAATTCCAATATTTTGAGATACGATCTTCGAAGAATCGCTGACGTTGAAGTTGCATCACTCTATTGAGATCCAAGTTGTTTTGTTAAAATAGTTCGTAGGTATATTTCTGAATGTATCTATATAACAGATAATGAAACTGATGAAGAAGGCAAAGATTCCTCCTACTTAATCTGATCTCCAAATATTATCTTCACAAGATCTTCCCACAGTGAAATTAAAAATGCATTATGAATCATAGGTATCAGATTTACTCAAATGTAGGTGTAACAGCGGTAAAAAAATTACAAATAACCTCGATAGCTAGTACTTTTTACTACATTAAAGTTTATCGATTTACAACTTCAGTTTTCCTACGTAATATGTAATTAATTTGATATACTAAATTTCAAAGAAAACACCACAATTTTGAGATTCTCTAATCAAGACTTGCATTGGAAACATTTTTTTCTAAGGTTTGTGGCAGAAGGCCTGAATAAAAAAAAACTTTACTTCTATAAATCAAGGAATAGCACCTAGACATTACACCAGAATTATGTTTGATAACCAGCAGTTTTCACCACGGAATTTTAACTTACTTTTCATTTAATTCTTCAAGAAGAGTCGATCCTTTGGTTACGGCGATTCCGTATGGGTGTTCAGCAAAAGGTTCTCCGATCATTGTAAAGTCACAGTCTTCATTAACCAAATAGCGAACTTTGGGAGAATCAGTGAGCAAGGCAAACTGACCATTTGTATTTTCCTTAACTCTTTTTACACCTTCTTGCACTTTACTAACTGGTTGTGACCTCTCGATGATTTTGAGAATGTTCTTATATTGTTCCTTGATTGGATAATCCCATACTCTAAACTTACCAGTTTCTCGTCCAGAATTGAGAGTTATATTCTTCCAGGCACTTAAAAAAAATCCACCAACAGTTATATTAGATAATGTACATTCTCAATCAACAGCAAATATGAATTCAAGTTTAATGGTATGTTGGTATACTTCTACAACAGTTTTTTTTTAATCCATTTTCGTAAAGTTTTTTTATATACATATGATTATGTTTTAATTAATTATATGATATAAGTCATTATTGAACTCTTTTTTTCTGCCATGGACACATATATGTTTCCCTCTAGAGCACTGCCATAAGAGTTTGTCATTTTGTACTACCATTAAGATGGGGTATTTCCCTTCAAACCTCCCAATATTTACCAGATTAAAGTTTCATATAGGTAATGAAATATTTATGCATGTGTTTTTGCTTTTATTGGTGTCTAAAAAATAAGGCTCGCACAGTAAAAGCTGTTTATCTATAAATGTAGAATTAAAAGAGTTAAATGTATGTTACTGGTGATAATTATAAAGAAATGCTCATTTATATGTATCTGTAACAGTGTTTTATGCATTACTTGTTACACATATATTATCCATAAGAAACTATGGCTTTAATCAGGTTATTATAAAATTTTTGATTCGACAAAAATATGATGGCATGAAACATTTTTAAAAGTTAATAACCCAATGTATCAATGAATATTATTCAATATTTCGCTCAATATACTGGAGAATGTAATAGTTTTTTTTTCTGATTCGGACGATATTTCTCAACTTATGCAAGAATGCTTGTTTATTCTTTAATTTTATGGTAACAAATTTAAGGGTGGAATGTATTTGTTACCCCCAATAGGATGTTTAGTTTTCTGTGGCGCCATTTGGTAATATATATCATATTTTTACAATCCAGCAGGTACTATTAAATCCTGGAAAAATACTAAGGAAAACGAAACAAAAACAGAAAATAAACTCAATGCTTTGGAAATACTACAGTAAATAAAATTAGAACTTTGGGAATAAGTACAAGTGTTTAAGAGTGGGACTAGTTAACAATACACAGCGCTACCTGTAGTGGTAAGAAAAGATTGAAGATGACCAGTACTAAATAAAGAACATAGCAATATGGAGACTAGTGAAATGAAGATAACAAACTTTACCAATATTGCACCTAAAAGACTCGCCATAAGCAGTACTGCTGATACTTGGAATAAAAAAAAAGATCCTGCAGTACCACTACTGGGACTGCAAGATTAAAGATAAAAACAATATCTGTAATACGACTTAAGGCTGACAATATCCTGCAGTATTGTTAATAGAACTATAAGATTAAAGAAAACCGGCACTATTATTAATCAAACTGGTACTATACCTGGCATGGGAATACACGGTTGAGAATGTTATAGTAAAATGATTTTGAATATCGAAATCAGCAAGTCACGGGACATCCATGCTCAATATAAAGATGGACATTGTATGGCATTTAGTAAGGTAGTGTCACAAGTGGTTACTTTTGAGAAGAGTATGTAACAGTATTTTCCGATGTAAAATATTCTTACACTCGGATCATAAAGATGTCTTCAGATCGGATATTTAGAATTTGAAAGAAGGGGGGATATCTCTTGTATTTAATGGGATTGTGAAACAATGGGTTATGGTTGTTCGTTATTAAGCGCAAAGCTACACAAAGGGTTATCTGTGCTCTGCCCACCACAGGTATCGAAACTCGGTTTCTAGCAGACATACCGCTGTGTCACTGGGGGAACGTGAAGCAAAAGAACATAGATCAACTTGGGGCACCACGACTATCTTGAAATACACCTATAACAAGTCGTACCCCAGCCGCGTTATACAAAGTGTGTCGTTTTGCAATAGTTGAAAATCCACGAACTCAAAGATCAGTGGCAAAAGCCGTCCTTATGCTCCAGGAAACAATATGCAGTATGATCAAGAAGAATCTTTTTTTGGAAAAGGGGCTTATGTTACAATACAAGTTATCGGTCCATGACTTAAAAAATGGCATAAATATGATATTTCTTTGTTTCTTAGAACATGGATTCGGCGAAAGCAAAATTTATTAAATTCTAAGATGGTTTGTAAAATCTTACGTTAATATCACAGGCCTGCGAATTTAAACTTCATAAAAGTTGTTTGGGTTTTAATAACGGATTTTCCATAATTCAGTTACGCAGATTTCGAAAATAATATTAATTTTTTTCTATCACATAAAGATTTTTTACATATCGGGAAGAAAAAAAAATCTTACTTAGATCAAATTATTATTCCGTTTGCCACAATGAACATTTTTTATTATTATGTTTGTTAACAAAAATACAAACAAACTGAAGAAAAGGAATGAACATTGATGTCAAACGAACATGCATCCTCATTCATCCTGATGTTTTTTGTTGTGAAATCTACGTCTTTTAGTCACACACTACGTGTTGTGGTCTTTATTTTATATATTGCGTCTGGAGGATCTCGTTTCAATGACCAACAGTAATCAGCCATCATGCTGAAATTACATCTTCCCTGATATCTCCTCGTAATGTTTTGCCATTGTTTCTTTACAACAAATTTACCACAAAATAACAGAATATATTCGGTCATTGACACACGTTCTTGTTGCCATAGCGACGAATAAATAATATTGAAAAGATAAAAATAATATCAAAGTGCAAACAAATACTATCCAGAAATGACACGTCATGCGGCCTGTTAACCGTTTATATACTAGCGGTGTGTTTATCGTGGGTTCTAGAACGATCGATAAAACTCTCACGTCGCGATGGGTCTAGAGGAATCTATAGCCAGTAGTTGTCAACATTTGAAGCATAACAAAATGTGACCCGATTTCAATAAAATTTATTCACTTATGTAAAAGTACATAAGATATTTTGCGAAAAATCTGTACGTGATGGAGAAAAATGGATATCATTTTCAGATTGAGCGTACAGGAATTGCTGTAGAACATGTAAAAATTTCGAAAAAATAAAAACTGGTACTCTGGGAAGACGATTATAACGTTCGTCAAAAAACTTTTATCTTAAAAACGTAAAAGTTTATGATTGGCTGAAGTTTTTAGATAAGCCAATAAGAGATGGTTGTTCATTTCATGTTTCAATCTGTTAAAGAAAAAAAAACATAAAAGTTTGTTGAAGTACCGTCTACAGAGGATGAGTTGCAAAACACATTTAAGGAAAATAGTAGATTAGTTTAAAGGAATATATAATTCAGTTTAACGTTAACAAATGAATTTAAGATTTACATAACATTAACACAAAAATTATGAATCCTACAAAAGAGCTTGATCAAACTCTCAAATTATCATCATACTTTTAAAGGATTAAGCATTTAATTCTTAACCCTCAGTAGAGATTAAGCTCATCACATACAGGGAATGTAAACTATACTCTGGGTGACACTAAAGGTTTCTTCGCTAATGTAATGAGTTGTGTTAACTAAGCCGAAAATATCTTTAACTTTGTACTTGTTGTTTTGATTTTCATTGACTTCTCTTGTATATTTATCCTATTTTCACCAACCCTGTTGGAACTACTCCAATATTTCGTAAGATAGTTTGTAAGGCAAATTGCCAGCTTTTGAAATCTGTCGTTTTCAGTTGTTTCTTCTAAATATCTCAGAACTAAAGGAGGTTTAATAATTTTGCTATGAAAGTCTTTCAAGTCTCATTAATCATTCATTGAATTACGTTTTTCTTTATATATTTGTTGTTTCAAATACATTTCAAACTGGTCTTCAAACTAAACATTTAGAATGGTTGCGAATAACCGTTAAAGTTGGTTGCAAATAATGTGTGAAGAATCATCGATTAACTGAAATGTCTAAAGGCGGGGCTTTTAAACATTTAGTGAAGTAGATACTTAGATCCAAGAATTTGTTTCAACATTTACCGATGTTCATTTTAAAGTGACGTAGTTCGGTTACAATATAATGTGTTTAAAAAACTGTTCCATTTTCTTAAAAGATTGGGCTCAGTTTTAAGATAATTGTTGAATTGAACAACACTTTATCAAATTATCAAAGGTACCTACGCCAGAAACGGCATTTATTTCGAAGGCTTCACAGAGACAGCGGGACGGCCTACGTGTGCGTCATTTACCTGGCAGTTATAGCCATTAGGGCAGTAGCTAGGGAGAAAATCGGTATAACTGTGAAATTCGTAAAAATATTAAAATTAAACAATTAAGGGGTTTCCGAATACCCCTAGATCATACCCAAGAACCCCTGCAAATTTCATGGTGATCGGAGATAGAGAAGATGGAAATATTTCTTCACGAACAAACAAAGAGAATGTAGACACAAAGCACTTTACAGTACAAACGAACATCCCCTAAATAAATAAATTTGGTGCATTACAAACGGACACAGCATACTAATGAAATATTTTTAAAATACCTGGATTCTTGTTTAATATTATTATTGTGGGCTAAAGACTAAATAGTTGTTTGTTTGTTTTGAATTTCGCGCAAAGCTACACGAGGGCTATCTGCGCTAGCCGGCCCTAATTTAGCAGTTTAAGACTAGAGGGAAGGCAGTTAGTCATCACCACCCACCGCCAACTCTTGGGCTACTCTTTA